TTTAGAGTGTGAACCTAATGATTACAGCTGAAAACTTCAACAAAGTATTGAAAATAACATATCTGAGGAGTTGTAATTCTGTTTAAAGGTATTTCCACAGTGTAAAATCGTCTTCAAAAAAATTAAAATGTTTCGTAGCATCTCAAAAAATATGTTTAATCAAAAGATGAAAGGAAACCTGCTTAATTTCAGCAATTACGAAACAACTCAATCCATATTTTTTCATAAATGATTACATATTATTATTGTTCCCTTGGGTTCCGAGCAAAATATAGGGCTTCAACAACACATCTCCATTTTGTTCTATCTTATGCTTTCCACTTCAGCTGTGCTCACGATTTCCCCTGGTAATTTAAGAAATAATTAAAAATTCCTGATGGTTGCATTTATAACCTCACTGACTCACGTGATGATAATTTCCAGCTCCTATATGCTCCACTCGTCAATTAATACGGACTAGTTCGCCATCATTCTGGTTCCTAGCGGCGTCGTATGTACTGGAAATTGCCTGCTGGCTGCTACAACAGTACTTTTTTGTACGCTTAACTGGACACTCACTGTTGTGGTAAGTCTCTGTCAAGTAATTTTGCTAAAATCAAAGTTATCCGTAAACTAACCAACATTTTATGAATAATCTACTATACCTAACACTTGTAAGCAATGACAGTGCTTACTATTATGCTGTAAACATTGATTCTGAACAATGAAAGATGACCTTACAAATATTATGCCATTACCTTGTCTTGTATTTACATTATATAATTGAATAATTTTGAGTATGCTTGTTCCATATATATATATATATATATATATTATTCATCATACTGATGATGGCTATAAACTGGCCTTTCTCATGTACAAACCTGAGAATATATTGTTATTATTATTACTGTTTCCTTTAGTTCCTAGAGGAACATAAGGCTTCAGCCTCACGTCTACATTGCGTTCGGTTCTCCACCAACGTTTTCACCTGGCTCCACGTCTGCCCACATGGTTTCATCTCCTCTCCACATGACTTCTTCCGTGTCACTCTCGCACTGACGACTGACTCGCAGCTTCCCAATCGTGTGTGATGTCACTTGATGGTTTCCTCACAGTATGGCCAATCCACCTCCATTTCTTCCTGCATATTTCTTACACACTCGGTTCCAGCTGGCTTGGTTCTCTCCCAGAGATCTCTGTTGCTGTTCTTTTCTGACTGACCGTTTGATCTTCAGCGAAATATTGAGCGAAGACAGCTGTTGATGAATATTTGTAGTTTGTTCGAAGTGTCCTTCGTGACGCGTTGAGTATCTGATCCGTAAAGTGAATAGCACTGACTTCACTTTGGAGTGGAAAATCCAGATCTTATTTTTCATGCTGAGTGCTGCTGACCTCCACACAGACTTGAGAGTAATGAAAACTTGCCTTGCTTTCCCTATCCTCGCAGCTTTGATATCCTCATCAGTGCCGTCCGCCTGTAATAGAAACGATGCTTCCCAGGTAGGCAAAGGAAGTTGTTTCTCTCAGGTTCCCTCCATTTATGCTGATTGTTGTCTGTTGTTGTTGTTGCTGTTGCTGTTGGTCAGGAATCTTCATCGCCTCTGTTTTCTCTACATTCACTTGAAGTTCTATCTCCTCTGGATGCCTCTTCTGCCAATTTGTTGCTTTTCACTTGTATATCTTCCAGAATGTGAGAAATCAGACATATACCACATCGGTGAAATCCAGATCCTTCAAGCTTTTGTCTGGGTCCATTTTATGCCTGTTTTCTCGCTGTCCGCTCTCTGTCGAACTGTTCAGTCTACCACAATCAGGAAATTAATCATTGGAGATAGTAGGCAGCCAGCCCCTTGTCTTACTGCCGTCTTCACTTCGAAGGATTCTGTGAGTTTCCCTGTTGTGGATTACTTGGCATGCAGCATTGTCCTACAACTGTTGGATGAGATATATAATTGTTGGCGGCACCCCGTAGTAGCGTAGTGGTTGCCAAACCACCTATTGATCGACGCTGCACTATCGAAGGCTTTTTCAAAGTCAATGAAGTCGAGGTAAATAGCTGACTGCCATTCCAAGCTCTGTTCAATGATGAGCCCTAGCGTTATGATTTTATATATTAGTTTTATTAATAAACGTCACAGCTGACACGTCTGAGAATAAACACGACATCCTATATAACGATAATACCAAAGAGGTCATAGGATACCCCACTGTGGTGAAGACAGACCAAGTATCAGTTAATGCATGTGGTTGTAAACCTCCTGTGATTGACAGAGCAGTCAAAGTGCAACATCAGGTTCCGTGAGGTCACGTTTATCGTAACGTGCTTGGCAAGTAATGCAAACGTAAGCCTATGAGGTATAGACTGATTTGAAAGCCTTTGACTATCAGAAATCCCCCTCAACAGTATATGTGATAGATTTGAAGTGACAGATTCTTCGGTTTACCTTCGAGAATTCAAGTTTTTTTATTCCAGAGAGAATTGGGACTTTGTAAAGCCTTAAAAGCTGTCCTTTATTTACAACCCAACTCCACATCAGTTTTCCGACTAAAAAGGCCTGTCCTGTAAGCTTCACAAAAGCTAGTGGAAGCTGAGGTGAAAAGATTAGAAGAAGCCAACTTCATAATTCCACTAACCCGTTCATCATGGGCAGCCTCTATCACTGTTACTAATTAGGTGAATGGTTCCAATCGTATTTGTAACATTTTATCGACAGGTCTAAATGCAGCCCTAGAAGAACACCATCCACTTCCAATTTCAGAAGACCCATTTAACACACTAAATGGTGGAAGAGTTTTTGTCAGAATTGATTTGTTTGATGTACAACTGCAGATCGAAGTTTCAGAAGAGTTATCAGCCAAAAACACCCACTGAGGACTGTCTTCATATAGCAGGCTACCTTTCGCTTTTAAGACTGCTCCCGCCATTTTCCAGCAGTTAATGTTCACTATCTTAGCTGACATTCCAGGTTTGGCTACTTATTTAAACGATACACTGATAGTCATTGCATCCCCAAAGGAATGAAGAGAGCGAATATGAGCTGTACTCCAGAAAATGGTGGACCACAGATTCCGTTTAAGGGCATAAAATATCAGTTCATCCTACAGACCGTCAAGTATATGGGATTCATATTTGACGATGATGGACGATGACCTGACCCCGAGAAAACAAAGGCGACCTAATGGAATCTGGCACAGAAAGATTTACTAACGCCTTGTTCTTTCCTAGGAACGATCAGCTGTTATTCAGCTTTCCTGCCAGCATTGAATGCAATCGGCGAACCATTAAACTGTGTGTTAAATAGCGATCATCCTTGGGTCTGGTCCAAAGACAAGTCTGAGCGTATGTTACACTTTATAGCGAACAAATCATGTCTTCTTACAACGTTCTCGCATGCAATCTACCTTATCGGATGTCACTGGACCAAATCAAAGTGAGATGTCTCCAAGCGTGCGGCATGTCATCAGCAAATTGCCACCTAATATCAGTAATAATAAGTGTGAGTGTAGTAGTTGGATTAGTCAGGAGAGTTAGACAGCGGCAGAGAATGTAAAGAAGTAAAACGACGAATTCATATGTCTAGTCATTATTAGTGTAAGAGATTTTAAGGGGATTGGCCGGTTGGATGCAGTGTTTGTGTCGCTACATGATTGTCCAGCCTTCGCTTAAAGCTGCCCATGGTCAGTGCCGTAGCTACATCGGCCGGTAAGGAGTCCCAGGGACTAAGTCCAAACGGCCTATCCCCTTAAAGATCTCACACACTGTTAATGGTTACACACCCAGACATGTACTTTTACTACTGCCCATTCTCCTCTGTCTTACTCTTCTGACTACATTATCTATTCATTCACTTATTTTAATATCATTCGTTTATAAATATACTTTTTAATCACGAATTTCATTTGCACGTCTTCCTTTTTTTCATGTCTACATTATTTATTTTTTGGTTTAGTCCTTTATGGAACCTAGGGCCTCAAGCAAAAGCTTTTAATTTTCGGTAGCAGTGGTGTTTACTTTGACGGGATGTAGTTGCTAGCTTCCCTCTCAGCCTTCCCTCTCTACCAACCGTACTGTAACGACAGAAGACAAGGACCAAGCAACAGATCGTTTATTGTGAAAATCAAGAGATATTTATAGATTTTATATACATTATTATTAGCGTTATTGTTAGCAGAGAAGCACCGTCTCCTGGTTGGTTGTTTTCTCACTCAAGATTATTCTGTCATCTCATTGTGGCCATTTCTTGGAAAGTCAGGCGATATCTCTGCGAATCGCATTTGCACACGTTAAGCCCGTTGTGATTGGTTGGTGATTTCCTCAAGGCTAGGCTTTGTTAATGTTTTTTCTCATGACCCCGACTCGGGACGCAAACACTGGCGTAAACTGTTGTCTACAATTTTGGCTAGTAGACAGCTCTCACCACAGTACTACCGGCTTAGCGAGGCTTAGGCGTGAGTCAGCCGGGGATTGAATCCCAGACTACATGCATGGTCGGCGGGCATGCACAAAACCTGAAAGTACTGTCAGACAACTGTTTCGTCAGCCTAGTTTGGAACTCTACTTCAGCAGTACACACCCACCACAGAGATTCTAACCCAGGACCTTCTGGTTACAAGCCGAGCTTGTCTACATAATCTTCACTAATTGTATCTATTATTATTATTATCTCTTTTCTCGACCACACCGGACGACTAACGGGTGGAAAAATAAACTCCATTCACGGCAGCGACACGGTCTTAACACACAGAATACTAGACACCATATATGACAGTCAAATAAGAGGAGGGGGAAGGAGACACACAGCGCAGAAGTCTACTAAAGTCCAGAAACCCTTACGACCTCACAACCAAGAAGTAAGCACAAAAAATCAATTTTAGTAGTGTTACATATTTATTTGATTCAGTATAACAATGATACAATGAAGGTGACAAAATAACTGGAAAAAGAACAACAGCCACAACCAATACTACTTATTATTACTACTACTACTGATAACGAGAACAATACTACTCACTAATGATAGACACTCAATCATTCCAGTGAACGTTTTGTCTTATATTCATAAAGAATTCGCTGAATCATTTTCGCCAAACCAAATATAATTAAACATAATGGTACAAATAATAGAGCTAATACAATTGAATGAAATATAAGTAATTCTTGGATAGTCCATTTATGACTTAACTGTAGGGAATATGTCCATTCCAGTATATCACCGAGGATAAAAACACCAAGAAGTTTGTAGTGTAAACTGTCCCAACCTTCTTCAGCTTCATTCCAATAGAAGGCATCATTTAACGTGTGATCATCGCCAAGATGCCAGCCAATACCCCACTTTTTACAAAAAAATGTATAAAAATAAAAATAACATGGTCAGTACAAAATTGATTGACTGACTGACTAGTTTCAACAAAGAACTTTGAACAGATGTGCAACAGTTCGAGTTGCCACACTTCACTCAGCACACAAAGCCAGAGAAGAAGAAGAAAGTAAAAAGAAATGCAAAATAGAGACATGAAACAGAGATATGAGGTGAAAAGAATAGTAATATCGAAGAACAATATGGTTTTTTATTGTGTATTATAAGTCACAAGGAGTGGGCGCGCATTGAGAACGATTTTGAGCCAGCCACATCAACGATTGTCTCCAGCCATTGGTTTCCACCGTCTCGAGGACCCCAACTAGGAAGTCTACACCTTCCTACGTGGCTAGCTTAAACTAACTATTGTGGATTTGATTGACTGGAGCCATGTTTTTGTTTGACCACCACTGGCTCTTTTCTAACCTGACCCTATGTCAGCTAACTTTGCCCATCGGTCGAGGAATGCGATGACTAGGCATGCGTGTGCAACACATGTTCCAATCATCTCAATCGGTGTAACTTCACAGCCTCGTCGATTGATTTCCCTCCTTACCCAGCACTCGAGGCCTAACCTCAAAATTGCTCACCCTATTATACCATTTCATACGGAAGAAAAAACGCAGGCACCTATGATCAAAGACAGCTAGCCAGCCTTTTCATGTCTTCCACTCTCAATGGCCAGGCCTCACAGCCATAAAGGAGGACGAAGCGGATTGCTGAGTAGTACACACGTCCTTCGGTTGATAACCAGCTGGATATCACGTTTACGCCAGAGACGGCGTAAACTGGCATATGCGAAACGAGCCTTCTGTATCCGTGCTGAGATTTCGTCAGCGATCAACCCGCTGGCTTTGGCTGATGCAAATTCCCAAATAAGTGCAGTGGTCAACGTGCTCTACCACTTCAGTCCCTATTCCTTACCTAGGAGTCAATTTAGTTCAGTCTAGTCCTGTAACATCATCTTAGATTTGGCCAGGAGAAAATCGCATGCCAAACATTTGTAAATTGCAGCTCAAGGTATTCAGAAGACTCAGCATTTTATCAGCGTCTTCACCTTATCTAGGAGGACTATATCATCTGCATATTCTAAGTCAACGAGATTATTCACACCCTGGTAACAAGTGAATCCGTGAGTCTCTGAAGTGAGTTAGCGTTAAGTCCATTAGTACATCTATGATGAAAGTGAATAGAAATGGAGATAGTGGGCATCCCTCGCTGACGGACACCACTAGTTGTCACCTCTTCAGACGACAACTCGCCACCTGGCTGCATGAGTTTCTTTAACAAAATTGATTAAAGAAATATTAATCACTGGTAATAACAATATGTTTGATTATGGGAAAAATTAAAAAGACGACTTCCGCGGAGGAAAACTTCCTTTTCAACGCAAATAATCATCAACTAGGCTGTACATTCATGTTTATACTGGAAATGGATGTGAGAAAATTCCAGAAGTATTTCTAGTTGGGGGTCAAATTTCAACGGATAACAAGAGCATCCACTTTCTTCTACTCAGAATTCAAAATCACAATTTAGCTGTGGAAAGAAATGCTAGATATGCTTTCATATCAATGCATGTAGATAATTATGGACACCAATTTGATTGGAAGAATGTACAAATTTTGAACTTCAAAAGCAATGCCAGAGAACTCCTAGAAGCCTGGTACTCAAATGAATCAGCTATTAACAGACACACTTTCAACAATCAGATTTATCAACTGGTAAAGAACAAGTTTCATAAGCAAAAGTTGGAAATTCCCAGTGAATAAAAATGAGTATCAATATATCAGCACAAATTAACAACCACTGACGCACAACGAAAGTTGTCAGAGGATAGAATTATATCACATCCAAGGAGAATTCGGATAGGTTCATTCTTCATCCTGAAGGCAGTGCGCTGAAAAGGATGTTATCTAGATGGCGGAGACTGAAGAATTTGTAATTAAAACATCAGCCGACTAAGAGAATACAACTAAATCAGAATCATCCACCTGAGCTAAAAGTCCCACTCTCTACTAATCGCTGCATACAGAAAACAGGTTACATGACAGTCACCGAAAGTCAGTTTTGAACCCAAACAACTCATTGATAGCATCTCTGTTTACAGCAATAAGTGACATGGATTTGACTACCTCTCTCTAACATGTTATTACCAACCATCACCTGACCATCTAACACCAACCAAGAGAAGGAGACTGTATATTAGCGAATCAAAAACTTATAAGTGCAGATTCTCCATATTTCCCAGAAATGCGCCAAGTTATGAACTAGCTGCCATTCTCAAAGAATGAGCCATCAAACTGCGAAGGTATTGACCCGACTTTAGTCTCAGTATGACTGACTACCATTCGGTAGGATAATTATTGCTAGCCATCCTATTTATTAGTATCTTTCGTTTCACAAAGAGGCAAGTAACTGAACAGTTAGTCAAAAATGTTGTTGAAAGGTCAGCTAGACGTTTGAGCGAATTTTACAAAACAGTTGAAAGATGCTTTGAGTGATGGATGTTAAAGCATACCCCCTCAAAATTCACCATTTTCAACGCTTTCTTGAATAATACTTAGGATTTTGAGCAGATCATAAACTGTCATTTGAATAATTTGTTGTTCGGAGGAAACTTGGGTGAAATGTCACCAATTTGAACGGTGTAAAGTTCGAATTTCCAGTTAATTTCCAACGGGAACAGGATCCCATGCGAACATAGATGAGGCGGAGGTAATGAAGATAACCAACCAACCAAACAACATAGACAACAACAACAACCAGCACTAATCGCTATCAACGGGAGAAACTTGACAGAGATTACCTCCTTCATTTATCTAGGAATCTTTGCTTCGACCACAAGCAGACGCACGGATGAAGATGTCAACACCAGCTAGAATCGCAATAGCAAGATACACCTTCAGCGATTGGAAATCGGTTTGTCAATCTTCTTCACTCAGCATAAAGAACAAGATTACAATTTTAAACAATAATGTTCAGTCAAAAATGTGTCAGAAACTTGCATTGGCATCACGAAAAACATTCCCAACAGCCTGATGCAGACGTCTGTCAACAGTTGCCATCTCTGACTTCATAGCGAAGACCAAATGGCCAAGCGGAACGTATTACCATCAAGAAACTTTGGGAGCAGACGAACCACGAGCCTATTGCTCAACAAGTATTCCGAAGAAAATGGAGATGGATGGGATACAATGAGGAGAATGTCGAGAGAAATAACGTGCCGGAAATTGCTCGATTGGAACCTGAATAGGACACGGCAAGGTAGTCATGGGTCCAAGGGTGACATGGAAGAGGTCGTGCGAGTTGAAGAAGATGATAGATTATGTGCAGTCGTGGGCTCAACTAAAAAGTACAGCGGAAAATAGAACAAAGTGGAGATGTGTTGTTGATGGCCTATGTTTGCACCCGGAACCCAAAGGAACAATGATAATAACATAGTCAATAATTGGTTAGAGGATTTCATCATGAGCTGACATCGGTTAGAGAACCACTGGATAACCTGTGGTTCCGCCCCAGTTTGGGACTCTTCGACAGTACACACCCACCACAAGGGTTTCAACCCAGGACCTCCTGCCTAAAAGGAGAGCCCGTAGACCATTAAGACACTGGGACCCGATCCAGTAGCCTATGAATTCTAACTTCTGCCAATTCACGACATAGTGTGACCACTAGCCAATGTATTCTGCGAGTATTTGTCCTCACACCCGGCCTGCTGCACCTTACTGGTCACGACTTCCCACTAGAACCTAGGTAACTACCTACTTGAATAGAGCCAGTCGCTAGTGAGCATTTCATTGATAATAGAGAATTGGTTTTTAGGGATTTGATTGATTGGTTACACCGGCGTTCGAACCCAGGTGGGTGTGTACTGATGAAGAGTTCCAAACTAGAACGAAACGGTTCCAGGTTTGTAAATGGTTCTCTAACCGATGTCAGCTTATGAAGAAATCCTTAACGAGTCAATCAAATCCCAACAAACCAATACTTTAGTGTCAATAATTAATTTGCAAATTGTGGATTTGATTTACAAAGTAGTTGGAAGAGGCTTTGAGTGATGTTAAAGCACAGCCCTCAAAAATTCACCAGATACAATGAACAAGTCTTGTTGGTCTGTAGCAGTAATTCATGTTCACTAGCCAGATATGACTAGGCAATGGGGCTTCAGAGTTAGATGTCTATCGCAAGAGAAGTCCTTCGTTTTCCTTATTATCATAACAGAGCTCGTTCATTTAGAATGGAGCATCTTTGAGGGGGGAGGGAGTCAGGGTATAATCTAACATCACTAGAAACTTATCAATTAATGCGAAACCTTATCAGTCATTGGAGCTTTAATTTTAATCCCGGTATATTGGTCATTTTGTACTACACTTCGTTACCTGTGTTGCAGTGGACTCATCATTCCACAGTGATACACTTCATAATTGTAATCAGTGACTTACTTACACTTCTCAGTATCTTTGATCCAGATTGTGTCAGTTCTGGCATTTCTTCATCGTATTCATCTTGACAATAGGCTATTGGACCTTGACATCGACTAGTTTGTATATACGATCCAATACAACGATTTGGTAATGGACAAGTACGAAAACGTTTATGTATACCAAGACCACATTTTACTGAACATGTTGTCCATGCAGACCATGTTGTCCATTCTAATGGTGGAGCTCTACGTTCACATCGTGAACCAGAATAACCATGTTGACATTGACATCTAAAAACGAAAAGATATAGCAAGAGATTTATTTGTAAAAAACCATACCATTCAATATGCTTAAATTTTTTAGAAGTTAATTGTTGGATGGTGACTAGCAGTGGAATCCAGGATAGCACGCATTTCGTCTTATTTGGGACTCGTCAGCTAGCGGGATGTACCTGCATTCCACAGTGAGTGATGACGTTCCCACAGAGTCTCGAACCAATTACCCATAGTTTCAAACGCTAAAGCGTTATGCACTAGACCACTTGCGCCACGAGAGCCACCTCTTGTGCAACGGGCCATAATAAGTGCTCGGTCTCAGGTTGACATGTCTAGGGAATAACGCTTTGGCTTTTGAAGCTGTGGGTACTGGGTTCGAACCTCGGTGAGAACATCATCATCACTCACTGGGGAATTTAGGTAGATCCCACTAGATGATGATTCCCAAATAGGACGAAATGCGCATCCTGGATTCCATTGCTAGTCACCACCCACCAATTAAATTCTGATTATATCCCCAGATATAGTGGAAGCATCTGCAGAAGAAGCCGACATATCAACCTGAGACCGAGCACTTTGGTCCAATCAATCGACAGGAAAATCGAAAACTGAATTGAATATGCTTAATTTTTAATTACAGAATAATCAGTGAAGTAAATCAGGTTGGATGTGAAGACAAACACTCGCCGAAAATTCTGGTACGCCGTTACACTCAAAATCATGAACTGACAGACGTTAAAAATTAATGACACATTGGATTCTGTCTCAATGATAGGATAATCAACTATGTTGCTTCACAAACTGAGGGTTTTGGGTGCATCAATGTACCGTCGTTGATCAGGAAAACTTTCTGTATATAAGCTCAGCAGTACCTGTAAATTGAAGATAGGGGGTAAGACAAAGTTGCTTGCCTACTATATCACCAGTGGTATTGCTGACTGTCGTGGACTGCATCATGAGATAGGCAGTGAAAAGCGAATGAAATTCAAGGAAGGACCGATATGAAGACTCTAGGTGATTTGGACTTTGAGGATGACTTGGTGTCTAGTTTTACACAAACTTGAGGATCTACAGGCGAAGAGCAACAAGCCATGAAGACAGGATGTCAAGTAAACATATAGAAGACAAAGGGGTATCGAAGATACCTAACCATTAACAATAACAAGTACCAATCACTAACACAGAAAACTGTCAATGGGAGAAATTTAAAGCAGATCACCTCCTTCATCTATCTAAAGAGCATCGTTTCAATTGCAGACAATCAACATAGATGAAAATGTCAAAGCCAGGCTGGATCAGAAAGGCAAGCCAGACCTTAATTAATCTGTATTCAGTCTGAAAATCTGCTGCACTAACCATAAATTACATGATTAGGACTTTCAACAGTAATGTCAAGTTAGTCAGTGTTTCTACATGGGTCAGAGACTTGATGTATGCGTCACTAAAGGCATTTCTAACAGGCTATTGCAGACTTTTATCAATAGCTGCCTTCTTTGACTTCGAAGTGAAGATCAAATGATTTGTCAGAAAGGATCAGCTACAAGGAACTATGGCAGTATTGGAATTCATGGGTTAACCATTGGATCGAATCACAATGGTTGAGTAATGGTCTACAAGCTCACCTTGTAACCAGAAGTTCCTGGGTTCGAACCCCTGTGGTGGGTGGGCACTGATGAAACACAGTGCCAGTCTAGGCCGACGAAACAACTAACTGTCTTGCAGCACTCTCAGGTGGTTTTCCAATGGTTCTCTAACCGATGTTAGCTCATGATGGAATCCTGTAAACAAAATCCTCTTGCCCAAAAATATGTAGACGAAAATGGAGATGGATCGAGGAAAGAAATACAAACGCTAAAAAGAATTTTGAGTTGCACCACGAGCCTGGTAAACTTTCGAATGGAGATCGACAGGCCATGTGAGGAAGAGATGAAATCCTATGGGCAATCACAAAACCATCTGCGCAAATTATCTACCAAGTCGTATTGATTGTGGCTAATACTCTGAAAGTCAGGCGTCGAAAATGAAAGTTTGAAAACGAGTTTATTGTCACCAGTCAATCAGTCAGTCAGTCAGTGAGTCATAGAGAAAGAAACTGAACATTACAAACTCACGTATATCCTAAATTTTCTTCGGTCATGCCAATACCAATAGCTGTTGATGAAGGATCTTTATCAATACACCGACCACCGTTTAAACATGCTTCATCCGGATACTCTATGCATTCATTCACATTAACACATTGTGGTTGTGTTGAACTCAGCGGCTTTAAACCAGGTGGGCAAGCACAACGATAACCAACTTTAGCATTACTTGGATCACGATAACAATAATGTTGACCGCATAATCCTTGAGTTTCTAAACATGGATTTCTCGGTTCCTTAAATGAAAAAGGGGCAGTTATAATAATAATAATAATATAAAAGAAATATTCGATAGAATAGACTATACTCACACATACATCAATAAAGTTTCTTCTCTCTATACTGGTGGTTAAGCCATCATTAGGTAGGTTTCGGATGACTGAATGGTCTAGAGAGCTCGCCTTGTATCCAGAAGGTCGTAGATTTGAGTCTCAGTCGATGCGTACTGCTGAGGAGTGCTAAATTAAGACCAAACCACTGTTCATTATTGTTTGCTAGTCCTGATACTTTAAAAAAAGATGGCCTATTGGCCAGGAAAGATAGACAAGAATGCAATCTAATATATGTGTAAAATTTGGGCACTGTGGTAGTAAGTAATTCCACATCAGTTTATTTATTAGATATATCATACAGTGAGTGAAACAGTATTATTTACTGGATGACAATGTTTCGAACAAAATTTAGTATTGTTCATAGTCATATCAATTGTAATCACACGACTTTGGAACTTGAGTTTTATAGTTTTCTTTGTTTCCTCCTATTTGTCGTAGGGGTAGTAGAATTTTCCAGATATCCGGCTGGACAGGTGTTCAATCATTCCTATTACATGTATTTGCAGTTGATTCGATAAAAAAAAGCCTCAGTCATTTATCAATCTCGCCTTCTACCCTGTGACATCAGATTTAAGAACTCTCATCTTATCCCATCCCATCCTATTGTATGGTTGTGTGTAATTGTATGTAGTGTAGTGCTATAGCTGAACTATTCTCTAGATTTCTTATCTTATTCGGATCAACCAATCTAGATTTCGCTAAGTTTTTATGTTCGACTAGTCTGATTGCCCCTATTCTACTAGTTTGACGTATGTATTTGACCTGACAATCATTCCAACAGGGTAGTAGATAAACTAAATTGTTTTGTTTTAAAGACTCCACAGGATTGATCCTTTAACCGACAAAGCTTGTTTCTAATTGAGTTTGTGGGTTTGAATTCCCGCCACTTTTATTCCTGCCTTGTTGAGAATTATGCGTAAGGCTTCCGAGGCTCTTTCCTTGCATGAAATTACTACTGATGACTTAGATTCCTTATTGTTGGTGTTGTTATTAATATTATTATTATTATCACTGTCACTACTATCATTATTTATTTTATTTTTACATTTCCTTACATATTTCCTGACTAATTTATCTGGGTAATTATTAAGTTTCAAGGCTTCTTTTATGTGTATCAGTTCCTGTTTTAGATTTTCTTTGGTACTACTTAGTTTTTGTGCTCTGTCATTTGAACATTTCACCAATCCAATTTTTACTGACATAGGATGGGATGATCGGAAGTCCAAATATCTGTTTGAGTGTACTAGATTGTACTATTTTTTTTATTACAGCTTGATGCCACACCGTATTTTTGGTACAAGTATGGAATTTTCAGCATGTGATATCGGTAGCCCAAATTTTACAGGCTGACCATAGATATCAGGTGTGCGTCGGCAGGGTATCGAACCCCGGACCATGTGCATGGTTGGCGAGAGTCCTAACCACTAGTGTACTAGTGTACTAGATTGGTTGATCCAAATAAGATAAGAAATCTATAGAATAGTTCAGCTATAGCACTACATGCAGTTACACACAACTATACAATAGGATGGGATAGGATGACAGTTTTAAAATCTAATGTCTCAGAGTGGAGGAAGAGATTGATAATAGAAGCTTTGTTTATTGAATCAACTGCAAACACATGTAATAAGAATGATTCAACAGCTATCCACCCAGATATGTGAAAAATTCTACTACCCCTACGACAAATAGTAGGTAACAAAGAAAACTATAAAACTCAAGTTTCAAAGTCGTGTGATTACAATTGATATGATTATGAACAATACCAAATTTTGTTCGACACATTGTCATCCAGTAAATAATACTGTTTCACTGTGTGATATATCTAATAAACAAACTTATATGGAAGAATGCAATCTAACAGTCAGTGAACCTTAAACCAAATATCCTATCTTTTAACAGATACTTAGGAGGAAATGGAAATGAAATGAGAATGTGCTAAGGAGACTACTATTGATTGACGTTACTTGTTATACACACCCTCGAGTTGAGCATGGATTCGATAATAAGATGGAAGTGATTATGTATTAACCAGATGGGGAATAAGAGTTTATCGACAATCTTGGAGTCAGGTGTCAAAGGCTGCACAGCAGTGAGTAAAATGGTGATGTACTGCTGTGGAAGTTCTACGTTCTACTTGGAAATCGTAGGAAAAATAATTAATTATACAATAGAATTGTTGCACATCAATACACTGATGGTGTCTTTTGGTTGAATCTTAATATATATATATATAAATTCGCGTTAAAGCTTATAAGGTGTTCGTTGCTTGTGTATATTAGACAGACTGAAACCCATTTCTTATATTCATCTCAGCTAGCCACTGCAAAGAAGTTTTATTGATTTTCTATTTCTAGTTAGTCAATAGGACTCGACTCCATAACCGCGATGTATTCAAAAACCAGCAGCCGACATTATCTTTTATCTGACTTGGTGAACTACATTGGTCACTAGAACTCATGGTGTAACGGATATAAGTATAAAACTTGGGCACTGTGGTAGAGCATAAGTTCATTATGGATAAGATTTTATTTTGATAAATCACACAGTGTGGTTATACAGTAATATTAACTGATGACAACGTTTCGAGCACAAACTATTGCCACTCATAATCATATCAAGTTACTCACACAACTTTTTTCCTTCATTTATATACATGTGTGGAATCGATTAGATATTGGAATAAAAATCAGTATAGGATAATGTACATTCAGAAATAATATTAATATGAGCGGTATTGATCAATTACAATCAGATGGGAAATAAGTAAATAATAAGACGACACATCACAAAATTCTAACGAGTAACTTATTATGACCATAAAAACACTCGTCTTATTTCCCATCTGATTGTAATTGATCAATAACACTCATATTAATATTATTTCTGAATGTACATTATCTTATACTGATTTTTATTCCAATATCTAATCGATTCCACACATGTATATAAATGAAGGAAAAAAGTTGTGTGAGTAACTTGATATGATTATGAGTGGCAATAGTTTGTGCTCGAAACGTTGTCATCAGTTAATATTACTGTATAACCACACTGTGTGATTTATCAAAATGAAATCTTATCCATAATGGAGTCATGGTGTAACCTCCTATATACAGCAAGTCACTGGTGAGCATCAGATTAATTAAGAATTTTCGGCTCCAAGAATATGTTTCATTATGGATTTCATCATAAGTTAACATCAGTTTAAGAACCACTAAAAAACCACCATGGAGTACTGAATAGTTGTTTCTTCCTAGTTCGGAACTCTTCAACATCACACCCCACTACTCAGTACTTTCTGGTTACAAGGCAAGTTCGTAGATCATTTAACCACAAAGACTTTGTCAAGTATTCTACAAATTCTAGTCTCCACCGCAGTTATGTGCTTTCTGTACACTTTGATCGACATTCCAGAAGTCAGTTAAATTAAAGTCATAAAATTCCTAAATGTGTTGATTTGTAGGGATTTAGTTGAATTCAAATTAGATCACGGGTTGACTTCGATTATTGAACTATTGAAAGTGTTAGGGAGTTAGTACTGGACAGCTTCAAACTAGGACGAAACAGCTGCCCTAGTTTTCAATGCCTACCTAACTCATATCAGTGTGTGATCAAACTTGAAACTTATTCAAACTCTGTAAAGTGACGCCTGGAGAGTAAATTAATATTCATTAATAACTGATTACAGGACAACGTTGGCTAAAGATTTTAGTGGAAAGTTGTAACTATTGAGGTTCACAAGGTTGACGATACTAGCTGGTGATGGTTCTGTATATACTGGGAACTGTCAGGAGTTAGAATTAGTGGATCATTGAATTCTGTCCCGATGACTGATTGGTTAATGTGCCAGCCTCATACCATGATGGTGCTGAGCTCGAACCCCGATAGGGTGATAGGTGCATAATTCTAATGAATTTCAGACTGGGACGAAACACCTGTCAAACATTACACCTTAGGAGTTTTAACTTATTCTCTAACTGATATCAGTCCGTGGTCAAATCTGAATCAAATGAAATCCCCACAAGTCAGCCCCTGAAAATAAATTTGATGCTCGCTAATAATTGACTACAGGATAAGGATGTTGCTTTGAGTTCTAGTAATAAGCCATGATTGAGGCTGTCCATCAAATCGGTTGTGGAAACAGGTACTCGCCCCTGATGACACTTCTCGGTAGTTGGGCTAAAATCATGAATTTTCAGAAGTTGAAATTCATTGGCTGGCCATTGAATCAGATTTCAGAGTCCCAATGTTCAATGAAATCGCTTTATAACTGGCAGGTCTTGGATGCAATCCCAGTTTTTGGTGAAGTCATGAATGCACACTACTGAAGAGTCCCAAACTGGGATGAAACTGTGGTTCAGTGCCACATAGATTTCTAGTAGTTCTTTAACTGTGATCGAACGCTTAACCAATTGGATTCCTGCAAAATAACACTTGATAGCTACATTTTACAGCTGGTAACCTTCAATGACTTATGAAGTAGCGAACATCTGAATCGATAACTCTGAAATATTTGCCTATTTTCTGAGACTGTACAAAAAAGTATTCATGCTGAGAATTAGCCAGACATTAACCAGTCTCCTTCGGATTGACGAAAATCTCAAAGCAAGTGAAGTGGTCAGTACATTCAAATATTTTAATTCTCATATAGTATCATCTTACATTTGACAAAGACGACTAACATATATCCAAATCATTTAGACTTTTGACTGATGGTATTTAGGGGACTCAATGTTTTGTCAGTGTCTTCACGTAGATTGAGAATTATACCATCTACAGGTCATCTGTAAATCATGAAAAGACATTATTTTCTTAGCGAAATCAGTTATGCTTGTAACAACATTGACGTCCACTGCTGTCATCTACATTCGTACAGTTTCTAATGAAATTAAATAAGAACTGTAATAATGGATGTCTCTGAGGGATACCACTCACTGATTGTCGTGTCTTCAGAACGCAAATATTCATAAACTACCATACACCTGTATGAGGTCGACTGGGGTATACTTTCTCGGCGACCCATTCACAGAAAAATACTGTCACAACATGCCTCCATCGATTAAGTGAAATTGAGTCGTGAGGTGATAAGCACAGGTAGCAAGTACACTCACGTATCATAATACTAGAGGTTTGACCATGCGCTGACATCTGTTAAAGAACCACTGGACAACTGCTTTGTCTTAGCTTCGAACTTTTCAGCAGTACACACCCACCACAGGGGCTCGAGAACCTGTTATAAAGACTTAATTTTCCCAAAATAATAAATTTATCTTTACACTGCCTGTTGTATTTCCCTCTTCGTCACCAATGACCTTGTTATCCTATTGGTTGTTAACTGTTCTAATTTAATAATGTAACTACTGCCTCTCAAGGTCATTTGAAGCATATGAAAATACACGAGCGCTATCAACCATCTTCCCTATTGATACGAGACAGTAAGATCTCCTTGTGTCTCAACGGTCTGTCTCCTCTTCGTGTTTTCTTGCATCGCCGTTTCGGAGGTGTCAAAGGGTGTTATTTTTGTCGTTCATGTTGCCAACGATGGTTAGAAGAGTAGTCTTGAGAATCAAATATGTAGGAAATTCAATAAAGTAGCTACTAGGTGTGTCATCGATCATGCCAGACACAAGCTAGCGGCCCATTAATTCCAAATGCTGCCAAATAGTGATATGTGTACACAGAGAAAATACCAGCCCGTGATCAAAACTGTAAGCAACCAAATCTCGCAAACTAACAAATAAAAGTGTCAAAATGCGTCGAAGAGTAAACGTGTGGTGAGAGATGGTTGCTAGCCAAATTGGTTGACAGTAATTGAGGTCAAAGGTCAAGATGGACAGGCGGATACAGTTAACATAAAGATGAACTGACACAGCCACAAGAGATGCAAGGTTAACTTTGTGTGAGAAACAACCAATCAACAGACTGTATTTTCTACTAACATTAACCTACAATAATGTACATCAAAATCTAAAAATATGTGTTGATTTTCCGTAATAAACGTTCTGTTGCCTGGCCCATGTCTTCTGTTGTTACAAAAGGTAACGTCGATACACCCTTCTCTCCAGATAGGACGTAAATGGTTTTCTGTGATCTATTGTTTTATTAAATCTATTTTGTATTAAAGTCTACAGAAACCTAGAACCTTAGGTCATACGTCATTCAGGCCGCTGATCCTGACCCCACCTTTCTGAAGATGATTATTACAGTAAAAATTTATTTCCTTTCTTACAAGAACTAAGATGACAACCGGCGATCTGTTTTATCCCACATCAAGTCATTATTTTCTGTTTGTAACCAGTCAAATTCCCGCAAACCAACATTCACACTATTCAGGTAATTATTTACTTGGATTTCAGTGAGAAGTCGTGACCAGTAAAGTACAGAAGGTCAGCAGGGATGAGGACAAATACTCGCCACAGATGAAATTCACTGGTGCCAGTCAAGCTATATCAAGAATCACCACGGTTTGAAATTCATAAGTTGACCCTTGGATCGGAACACAGTGGCTGAGTGATGTTCTACAAGCTCGCCTTGTAACAATAAGTTCTTGAATTAGAACCCCTGTGGTGGGTGCGTACTGCTGAAGCACAGTCTCAATCTAGGTCGACGGAAAAGATGGCTTCCCAGTACTCCCTGTTGCTGGTTTTTTAATGGTTCTCCACCCGAGATCATCTCATGATGATCCCCTGTAATCAATCGAATCAAATTCCCACAAATCAGTATTTAAATATTTGACTATTAGAAATTATTCACTTACGCTACAAGACAGTCCTTTCCATGCTGGTGGACATTTACAACTGAATTGAATTTCTTGAATAATTCGTTGTTCTTCAGGTATATATTCACATATTCCATCATTAAAACAACTAGATTTTGGTTGTGTTTTTTAAAAAGAGTCAATAAGAGAAAAGAAGATTATGAGTCATACATGATAAGTGGGAATAAAAAGATGAAGCATACTTATGCAGAAAGCCAACACAGACCTTCATGAGTCGGAAATCACTCTCGAAGTCTGTAGAACTTAAACATACAAAACGGGATTCAGATTTTTAACATTACAGTCAAGCTAGTCAAGGATTTTTTCTATAGAGTTCAGAGATTTGACGATTTGAAGATTAAATGGTCTCTCAGTCAGAAAGGGTAAGCAACCAGGAAATCTGGCTACTAATCAGCCATAGAAGTCCTAGCACTTCAGATATATGTGAAAGGAAATGGGGATGGGGATGGATTGGGCACACGCTGGAGTGCATCCCTAACGGGAAACAAATCACATAGGTAGGAGGTACATGTTGGAGGGTAACATGGAGTTAAACAGTGTCAGGATAAGATGATATATTATAGAGAATCTTTGTTCTCTACTCGGGTTCCACTTGTGAGCAATGGCTTGTCTCATGATATCCCTCAACGATCTTCTTGGCATACGCCATACCCATGTTCTTTAGACAATAATTTCTTGGTTGGCCCATTTCCAGAGTTCCTTGTTCCTAGTGCTTTCGGGCCTGTAGGACATTTAATCTTCGGTAAGGAGAGAAGGGAGGTGATGTTGATAGAAGTCTAAAGTCAGTTCGAAATGATTTTATTGACTGACACGACAAGTCTCTGAACTACAAAGAAGCAATGACTGACTTGACACTAGTGTTGAAACTCTGGAACTTGTTTTTTTCTGCCTAGTACGGTAGGTTTCCAAATGACTGAGAACATATTTGACAAATTAAACGATAAGCATCCTGTAATAAATTTTGCCATCGTGAAGAAGAGGAATGATTTTATTTCATTTCTGGATGATTTATGACTAGAAAGGGGGATGATAAAATGAAAAGGAGTATAGATTTATAGAAAACCTAAATTGACTGCTCAGTACATTCACTTTTTGACATTTATGTCTTTGTAACTTAAACGGAGGGCGTCAGTGACACAGCGGTATAGTGCTCGCCAACCATGCAGATGGTTTGGGGTTCAATCTCCGGAAGACGCACTCCTTTACCACTCTAGACCAGTGATACAACTGGTACTAGGCAAGGTTGGCTATGAGGCTAGCAACTTCACACCGTGTAAATCAATACCAGTTGTCACCGAAACTTAAAAGCTTTAGCCTGAAGCCCTTTATTCCACTGGGAACGTAAAGAAATAAAGAAAAACTTAAATGGAGAAGAAATGCATGTAACCCGCGTCCCTGCCATGGCCATCATAAACAGGTAATTCTTCTAATAGTTACTATCCCACTGACTTTCTTATGCAAACTTCCTGTTTATTCATGTTATTTTCAAGTTTTTCGTAAACCCTATTAACAATACCATATTTTCATATCCGAACTTCCTGTCTATTTTATGATTTTATTATTTCTACATTTCTAACCCCTTATTGTACAATCAGTATCATTCTTCTCAGTAATTATGATACTACTTTGTTTGAGCTTTATCCATCCCCCTGTTTATTGTGGCATTTTAATTCCTAATTGTAATTTCATTAATTTGACCCTTGACCGGAAATTATTCTGGAACTTTCCTACGTATTTACTATAAAGCTTTACGAATGTACAGCCTAGTTGGTGATTTTGTCTAAAAGAAAATTTTCTTCTCTGCAACTGTCTTTTTATTCCTTATGATCAAATGTGTCTATTCCGTGATTTGAAATGGAGTTTAGTAAAGTGTTTAGTTAACAGAGCCAGGGTAATCTGTTCTAATGGCTGTCTTAATGAAGAACACAAGAATATTACTACTCAGTAAAAATTGATAATCAGAAAGGTGGATTGTCAGAAATAATATGAATCTAATACCAAGGCAAGCTAGTACATCAGCATCTCTGAAGAATCTCTTGTTCTTCAAAAGTGAAGTTTCTTGGCGATAGCATCAGTTAGATATTAATAACACAACGCTTTAGAAATGAAGTAAAAGGAATATTCAATAAGGTACAGATACAAGATCTATTCACTCAAGGAATAAAGACAAACTACGTAATTTTGGACCCATTTGGTGTGTACTTATCGGTTTGACTGCTCCTGTGGTGCTAGTTACACTGAGTGTACAATTAGTCATAATCTTCGTCAGATTTCTGAAAATCATACTGCATAGTGTTTAAGCAAGAGACAAACACAAGGGTTGACCACGAAGTAATTTGGAAACTACATCAAAAGTACACCATGGAGTGCGGCACCCCGAATCGTTATCAACCTCATCAAACAACTAAATGACAATGCCAGGTATCAGGTAATCCACAACCCAACGAAGCCTTTGAAGTGAATAAAGAAGTAAGAAAAGGCTGAATGCATACAATCACCGATGATATTCCTAATTGTTGTGAACTGGATTATGCATCAGACTGTGTGAGGAACGAGGTGACAGGAATAAGTTGGACCAACCAGCAGACTCTAGAAGATCTGGATTTCCCGGATGATTCACGTCGAATATAAATTACATGGACTCGAAGACTTATAGGAGCGAACCAACAAAATGTGAGAAAAAAACAGCAAAGACACTATTTCATGTGAACATAGAGAGGACTGAGGTAATGAAGATAACCAACCAACAGCGACAACAGCAAAAATCACTGTCAACAGGAGAAATTTGAAAGAGGTTACTTCCTTCACCTATCTAGCCAACAAGCACTGTTTCAACCAAAGGAATTCGGAACGGCTGGAGATGTCAACACCAACCAGAATCGGAAAGGTAAGACACACCTTCATCAGTCTGAAATCAATTAGGAAATCCTCTGAACTGCACTCAACTGCATAAACAACAAGATTCAGATATCCAACATCAATGTGAAGTCAGTCAGTCAGTTCTTCTACATGAGTCAGAAAATTGGCGAGCACATCAAGAAAAGTATTTCCAACGCCCTACTGCAGAATTTTATCTACAACTTTCTTAACTGCATGCTCAACATCACATGGCTAGCCAGTAAGAATTAGCATCAAGAAACTCTGGCCATAAACTAGCCAACAACTTATGTTGGAGAAAATGTAGATGGATTGGACACACACTACTGAGAATACCGTCGAATGACATCGAAAGAAACGGAGGTCATTGCTTGAGTGTGGCCTTAGTTTGAGGATGACATGGAGGATATCGTGGGGTGGGTTGGAGGAGATGAGAGATTATAAGCGATCGTGGGCATAGCTGAAGAGGACAGCAGACAAATAAAACAAAGTAAAGATGTGTTGCCGAAGTCCAATGTTTCACTCAGAACCCAATAAAATAATAATAATAATAGTTGAAACACCCAAATAAATATAAAAATTGCAATTAGATTGCTCAGGAGGTATTTTCTGGATTAGTTATGAAAATAAGTGATACACGGCCATTTTTATTTATTAACATCTGAATAGACGTCACTGGTCACTACTTCTCACTAGAACTCCAGGAAACTCCATCCTGTAGCAAGTCACTAGCGAGCATCAGATTAATTTTCTATAGTTTGGTTTGTAAGGGTTAGTTATGTTTTTTACGAGTTGATCACGGATTGATATCAGTTAGAGAACCATTGAAAACCAAGGAGTACTGGACAGCTGTTTCATCCTAGTTTGGGAATCATCGGCAGTACGCACCCACTGGGATTCAAACCCAGGAACTTCCAGTTACAAGGCAGGCTCGTATACCATATCAGTCCATGATCAACTCGTAAAAACAAACCAAACTATAGAAAATTTACTTATAAATCAAGATTAACGATACATGAGCTAACATCACGCCTTTAAGTAAGCTAAAGCTTTTTGAATTCACCCACCGACATGTGTGTGAGGCCTCTTCTGTCAATCTTTCTTTATATGAACCAAAACCTTTATGCAGAACCTTGATCCTTTCATCAAAACTGATCTAATATCCTCTTTCTAAAGAGTTTTATTAACTTTTTCATCTTTTAAACAATTTAACAAACAGTTATGAACTTTCGAAGAAGGTTGAATCCAATGCTGAGGATTTGTTGGCTTTTCTAGACTGTTTGTTCGGAAGACAACCAGACGGTGAATGAAATATTTGAATATTTCCATAATTTATTCAGAACAACAAAATAGTCAAAGTAAACAAATGTGACATTCAATAAATTCCATTTCTTCAAACTCTGAGATTATAAATCCACTGATTTAAGCATACAACAGCCAGCCAGTAAAGGTAAATTACAATCATATCAGAAAGTGTATAGTGGAACAATTATAAGATGGTACTTTTATGTTTACACCACATCATCGTTGTTATTTTACAATCGTCATTAACGTCGTTATTCTCAACCTCGAACTTATGTCTAGTTCACCCTATTCGTTTGTTTATTGTCTCACACACCACTAATTACACTCACTCTCGAAACCTGTATTTTCTGTTGACTATATTTATATATATATATATACACACATCATTAAATTATTTCATCTCATTTTATCTCATATTCTCATTGACCATGCATTTAAAAAAACTGACTGACTATTGTTTCATCCCATCTGATACTTGTTCCAAAATACACTTTCCGATATAATTCTGATTTTCCTGTCTACTAACTTATCCTGGTCTACCCATGTCTTAGCGATTTCTAAAAGAATATTTCGTCTGACTTTTTACATTAAGAAGTTAAGCCACTTGGACATAACTGAACCCCTCGTCCTCTTACAGTTTGTCAACACGCGCATCTTACCTATTCTTCTTTACTGTTCACCCTTACTTATTCTTTCCTGGATTGCTTAAAAAAAACTATGTCATACTTCGTAGAACTTTGAAGACTGTCAGTCAGTAGGGCGAGTTGTATCTCATTAGACCATATAGTTGAAATCGTCATTCATAGGCGCTTGATTTCATGCAACAAATTCGCTAAAGGAATTTTGTTAGACTGTGAGCATCCACTTTACCCGCAGCTCCAACCCTGTGTCTCCTCAGGTAAAACA